AACAAACAAATTTGCCGCATAATGACAAGCTGGAGATTTTCAATAAAATGGCAAACAAAAATTGCTTCCTGCAATATTGTTTGGAAAATAGCTCTACATGATAGGTATCAGACAGAAAATACCGGAAAAATATCCCAACAGAGACGAGATACAACAACGAAACTCGTGCAAATAGTTAATGCGCATGCGTGCCATAAGAATAGCCAAAATGTGATAAGATCCGGTGCCGGACGAATATCCACGGCGTAAAAAATATTGCACAATATTAATGATCGTGTAATCCTTATTCCATTACTACCACTGCTACTACTACTACTACTACTTATTGCTATTATGATTATCATCAATTTCATTTATATCTTTGCTGTATCTGTTATATTAGTATATTCTTATCATCATGAATATCATCATGAAGGCAATAATAAAAATAATATATTGATGTAAGTTCACTACTATTACTACTATTTCTGTAACTACTGATAATGACTCTTATTAGTAGAGAAGAGAAGAGATTGAGAGAGAGAGAGAGAGAGAGAGAGAGAGAGAGAGAGAGAGAGAGAGAGAGAGAGAGAGAGAGAGAGAGAGAGAGAGAGAGAGAGAGAGAGAGAAGAGAAAAAGATTGTCAATGAAGAAATGACAAATAACGATGTTCAGGTTGACAGGTATATGGTGAGCTAAGTTTAGTTCGTGGATAACTTTTTCGAAAATGAGGACCTACACAGGCATACTGAACCATGTTTAGCAGAACTTCACGTGAATATTCAAGTTTGGGGAGGAAGGGGTTGGTATTTCCAAGGGCGTGGGAAGGAGACGGTAAGGCATATTGTCAGGTTTGTTGTGGACACACCGAGATTATTTTTTTATGCCGTTATATTAATTGGAATGGCAATACGGCAATAAATAAAATCGCCACACTATCCATTTAGAATATGGATTGGTTTGTAAAAATGAACAGATGGTATCAAGGACTGCATTGCATTTTATAATATAGACAATATGTTAACAGAATACCATTTAAGTTTCAGCACAACCACTATCACAGTGTTACCAATAGCAGATAACACTGGCAAGGGACTATGCTACCTATGCTGCTGACTTTTTTATTTGCACTCGGCTGTACAGAATGCATTTGATACTCTGCCTTTTTGGCGTTAATGTCATTACCATCATCCTTAGAAGTAGTAGTTTTAGTTTGGTTGCTCAAATTTAATATTACTTTTTCAGCCATATTTCACCCAACCTCAAATGGACGGTGTTCTGCCGCGCCATAGAGGAGGGCGGGGAGGCCGAGTGGGACTTCGCGTGGGACCAATACCTGAGGACCAACGTCGCCAGTGAGAAAAATCTCCTTCTCTTTGCTTTGGGCTGCACTAAAAGTCTCAAGATCATTTCTAGGTAAGTCTCATATCTGAGAGTGAGAGAGAGTTGGAAAACCAGAGGCAAATGTGAGGCAGAGAGCAAGAAAGTGTAACAGATATAGAGCTATAATATTATATATGGTTTCATTTCTTTCGCATTTTTTTCTCTTTATCTTGGCCATCTGATTCCAATGTGCTTTTTCAGGTACTTAGAGATGGCCACTAACCCAGCCAGTGGCAGCGTAAAACTACAAGATCTTGGTGCTGTACTACATAGCATCAGTTACAATGACGAAGGACGCTCCTTGTTATGGGAATACCTCACACGTCACTGGAACGATATCTACACGTAGTAAGTCCTATTCTATCTTCTCGAGCATTGCTATATAAACAATGTATATGCTAATGAGATGATAATAAACTGTGGGCATGTGTGATAAAGTGAGATATAATAAAATCATAAATACTTAATTTAGCAATAAATAATGCATCACAAAATTACATACATATTCTCGCGGATAAGCAGATACTATTTCTACCAAAACTGTCACTGTCTCCTTAGCACATACTGACTTACTTTTTAAATGTCACAGCAAGAAGAAGAGGAGAGGAGAAATACTGAAGAGCGTAACAAATAACTTAAATACAAAGGAGGAACTTCAAGAGGTAAGTTCGGCCATTTTGATATGAAAATTTATGTACAGCATGTATCGAGAGTCTGAGGTATGAAAAGGAATAACTATTTAAAACATCAAAATTAAAATGCCCAGAAAAGACATTTTATGGAAGCTGTTATAATGTACAAATGAATTCTTCATATGAAGATAACTCATTCAGCCACTTGTTAGCACTGTAGCTTCAAAAACCTATCAAATTTACACCTTTAGTCAAATATTGGTACAAATTTATCTTCCGAATCGTAAGAATGAAACACTAGTTTCTTAATCATGCATTGTAACACAACTCTTCAGATCCAGTCGTTCTTGAGGAGGAGTGAGGTGTCCTTAGAAGGGAACGAGAGGACCGTCCAGCAAGTCGAAGAGAAAATTAGAAACAACATCGCCTGGATGGACGCCAACTATGACGTCATAATGCAGTGGCTCGAGAAGAACGGTTACTCCTCGAAACTCAGGGTTACATAA